AAAGAATACACATAACTAATATAATAAATGAATAAGGTAAATCGAACATATATACTACTTGATCATGGTGAATAAGAAAAATGCGTACAGCGAAAACAACGCCACGAGAACAGAAGAAGAACGACGGGGAATCCAAAAGACAGCAGCGTTGGAGTCAATGCTGCCAACTTACATGGGCCGAATAAAGCGTCCCACAGACTGCTCTAACGAGGCGTGGGCCCACGTCATAAGATGCGTGGTATGAAATTCTAACAGAGGGTTTTGCGTGCCGACGTTCACATTACGCTGACGTGCATGGGAAGACGTGGGCTAGCGCCATCTAACGGTACACAGTGTAGTTAAAATTCTAACATAGAGTTTCGCGTGAAGACGTTCACATTACCCTGACGTGACATGGGCTGATGCTATCTGAAGAAATATGCGTTCTGACACGTCAGGAGCACATCAAACCTAATAGATTTTCCGTGAGCGTTGGAAGGCGTCAGGAGACCAGGTGTTTTCTAGAATTCTGTTTTCCATTTTTGATCGATAAACTAATTTCAAAAACATTAAAACTGCACTAAAGAGTATTAAAAGAATTACTAGTTAATTTATATGAACTTATGTGACCATTAATTTATATGAGCAGCTCTAAATATAATTGCTTAAAAGTACGACAAAATGCAGTGAAAAGTATGAAATAATTTATGTTTAACTGCATTATTACCAGATCTTGTAAAATTATTGAATAAGGAATTTTTTTTATTGAACAAATTAATTTATATAATTATTTACTTATTTATACCAATATTTATTTTAATTTTAACGAAATTGATTCGATTAGTTATTCTTCTTTCTGTAAATTTATATACATTAAAATTTAGAATATTATTCTATATGTTTAGGAGCTAACCCTTTTTATACAAAGTAGTTGAGCTTCTAATTCAAATTATTCTGTATTATGATCAAAGCATCTTATTGCTCAATCAGTTTCCTATGAGGTAAGATTATTTCTTATATTATTGTCCGTTTGACAAAAAAAGGTGTTAGTGATTTGATGAGTGATGTTTGCAGTACAAGCTGACGTATTCGCTGCTTCTTCAGGTAAAAAATATCCGAATTATGTGATGTTTGATATCATTTTTATCGGAAAAACATAAGGAATCCATTGATATTATTTTCCCGACAATCTGATGAAAAATATAAACATTTTATGTACAGCAGTTCATCATTTTACGATGAACTCCGCGTCTTTTGTTCTCGGCCAAGCGCCTATCTGGGGTCGCTCAAGGGTCTGGGATTGAACGGGCCATCGACTCATCAATTTTTCATAAAATCGAATTCTTTATTCTTCATCGAATCCACGTGAACGTGATGGCATTGGATCCTTGGTGATTTCTCGATTAAAATGATATCTCACATCGCGTAAATCAAACTATTTTTAACGAAATAACTTTTCAATTATGCAATCAGATTTTTCATATAATTCCGTTAATTATTGTCCAAATTGTGTCATGTGTGGTATCATTATCATCCCAAAAACATCAGGAATCGTTTGATGTTGTTTTCGTAATGTTCTGATAAAAATTGCGGAGATTAGTATTTTCATTTTTTAATGGCGTTTATCTGACTCCGCTTCATGTCTTATGTGGACCCATGGAGCCTGATGTGACGTTGGCCCACGTCACGTCAGCGCAGTCTGTGGAGCGCTTAACCCTTTATAGTTTATGCGGATGTGACACAGTTCCAGCGATATTTAAAGAAAGACATATTTCAGCATCTATTGATATACAAAACAATGGAAAAGAAGTGGCATAACAGTATACATAATTCTCGAAAATGTATGCTCTAAACTCAATTAAACGTGCTTGGAAAATTTAACCTTGAGATTAGATCATTTGAATAGGAACTTCTCATGCACCTTCCTTATTCTTCTGATATTAGACCTTCGGATTATCATGTTTTTAAAAGCCTAGATAACGGTTTGCTGAATCAACACATCCGAAACAAAGTGTCAGTAGAAAAAAAACCTTGCATTACTATTTTTTAATCGGAAATTATAATTTCTATAAAAACAGAATTTGTAATCGTCTTTCCTATTAAGCAAAAGTTATTGCATGCGAAGGTGATTATTTTAATGAATAAATTGGTTTTTTTCTATACGTTTTACAGATTTCTTTCCCGACATACAAAATCGACAGAACTTCTCTGGTTACCTAACCTAAAATTTCATTTGAGCCGCTGATTACTCACACTGCAGTTGATGTGACGTCAAACATCTGATTTAAGAAAGCAGAAGTTTCACAGTATTTTATGAACAACTACGCAAATTCCTGTGCGATAGACTCGCGACCAGTGATATTGATAGTCCTACGTAAGTCAATAGTTCCGCAGATTGTAAACGAGCGGTGCTTCGGTATGCCATTCAAGGTTGGGTGATATGTCATCATAGTCATATATGTAATACACCGAGCAAAATTAAGCAATATTTCCGGATAAATTGATCACGTATGGTTTCCTACTTCGTTTGTTACGAAGGTGAACATTGTTCGATCGGGTAGACGTACCTCCATACTAGATGATTATCCAGTCTCGGTACATCGTCAGACTAGAGGTACACGACTTCCTTCCTCAATTCTCATAGCAATCAGACCGCGATTTCTACCCTCCAATAGACACAACAGGCAATTAGTTCGTGGAGCGTGTATCAGAGTGTATCGACCGATCAGCACGGCGGCTGGCGTCCTGCTGCCGTTCGTGATTTATGCCGCATTGTCTTCTCCCCCACAGCAGCAGGTCCTATGGCACCGACCGTATAAATCCATCTTTCGTTTATATATAATATATATTGGGTGTCCCGCAATATATCGAAACTAATGCAGATAACTACAGTGAGTAACTTTAATATTCGGATACTATGAGATTTTTACATTATCACATCATAACTTCGTTTCTAACAAAACAAGCAAAAAACAATAATTTACATAACTTACTGTAGTTGTTAAATAACACGATTTAAACAAAACATTGTCTGATTTTCGCGTTACTTTAATATTCGGACGTTTCAGAAACTATGTAGTTTGAGACTAATTTTTGTAATAATATGTGTTTTAATATCTTGTTGGGTAGCCATTCTGTTGTATCACTTCTTTTATACGATGTGGCATATTGCTAATGATCTTTTTTCAAATATTCAATAGTTATTTTGTCCCATTCTTTTTTTTTTTTAATTAAGGTTTTACGTCGCATCGACATCGAGGTCATTAGCGACGAATTCTGGACTAACTTATATTTTGTGGAAGAGTTTGGTTTCGTTAAGGAATTGAATGGTATTTCTAATATGTTCTTTGGTGGTGAGGGCAGTACTCGGGTATATCCTGAATTTGCGGCGCTGAGTGGAAAATTTTTGACAGTCATATAAAAGGTGGTGTACAGTGAGTGGGGTTTCGCAGCAGAAGGGAGGGTCTGTTTTCTTTATGATATGTTCGTGAGTTATTTTACTATGGCCGGTTCTCAGACGGGAAAGAACGATTTTTTCTTTCCTGCTCATGAGATTTCGTGGTATATTCTGGAAAAAATTGGTGATTATGTTATGGATTTTTGACGGTTTTGACTTCCAGATGTTGTTCTGTTCCTCGTTGATTTTCTTTTTTTCGTGCTGGATGATTTCTTGTATTGGGATAGGGGTTTGTTGGTGTTCAGTCTGGAGGGTGGTTGCTTCTTTGGCCTTAAAATCAGCCTGTCTGTTTCCAGATATTCCTTGATGCGAGGGGATCCATACGATGAATATTTTCTTATTGGTAGAGGCAAGTTCCGTGTAAGGTATTAAGACGTTTCTAATTATTTCGTTTTTGTTCCTCTTGGCGGTGTTTGTTAAGGTTTTGATGACGCTCATGGAGCCGGTGTAGATTACGTGGTCTTGAGAGTCGAATGTGTATATGTATTTGAGAGCGTCATGTACTGCATAGGCTTCAGCGGTGAGAATGGATGTTTGTATGGGTAAACGTTTTTGAATAACATTGTTGTCTGCAATCATGGCGTATCTCACTCCCTGGTTAGATTTATATGCGTCGGTGTAAAGTTTCTTACAGGATGAGTATTTGTTGTTGAGTTCAAGGAATTTGGTCTTATGTTCGTGATTTGATATTAGTTTCTTGTTGCAGTCAGCGAGGGTTGTATCTACATTTGGGGTTATGATATGCCAGGGGGGGACATTTTCTTGTTTACGTTCGATGATGATTGCTTGTTGTGTTGTAATTGAAGGGAAACGGTTTTTTATTCTAACGTACAGTGGTGATGGTAGTTTTGGTTTCTTTTGCATATAATTACTATCTGTTATTGAATAAGTAGTAAATAGGTCGAATTACTAGGAGTGGAAGACATTTTAAGTGCATACTTTATACTTAAAAATTGTCTTCTCTGTTCAAGTGACATCTCGCCAGCTTCAAATAGCACTCCACTTATAGGGCATGTGTGAAATAAGCCCGTGGCTAATCGTAATGCTGTATTGTGAATGGGATCAATTATTTTTAGGATATGTGCTTTTGCTAAATTGTATATAGTGCAGTCGTAATCAATCTTAGACCTGATTAGACCTCAGTAAGTTTTTAGGAGGATTTCTTTATCGGAGCCCCAATTGTGACTGGCTATTATCTTGATAATGTTTAGCCTTTTCAGACGAGAATATTTTAGGTGTTTTATGTGGGTGATCCAGGATAGTCGCCTATCGAAGATTAGTTCAAGGAGTCTTATGTTATCGACGAATTTGATTTCACTACTCCTCATAAATAATGTCGGTGTGTCTTGGTAGGTTTTATTGGAAAACATAATACGTTCAGTTTTTTGGGCTGAGAATTTGAGACCGTGTGACGTTCGCATATCGACCGTCCAAACCACGGACATATTTTTTCCTTGTAATGAGTTGAAGACAGATGTAGTATTTGTATATTCGAACGTCACCCTATATCTTAGACTGAAAAGCGTTTAGCAAGTAAGAGAGAACCTAAGCGATAACAGCTACGGGTGCGGAGCGAGCAATCTACTTCTTGCTACATTATGTGCCCCTGATACGACCACGGTACGATCGCGACTTATTTACTATCGTGAACCGCGGATTCGGTTGCTTTATCGCGACGCACGAGAATACAACGGTTCTCCTAGATGTTAAGTCACAGCTACAGGTCCCGTACAATTCTCAGTACTCGTTACCACCCATCGGTGGGCGGCCAGATCTAATGAGGCCTTGCATCTTTTCGACGAATTCAAGCGTAGCATCAGCTAAGGAACCGTCGGCAGTGCCTATCGTTGGTGTCAGTCACCAAAAACCAATAAGGGGTAGACTAAACACCTAGGAATGATTTCGGGCAAGATGTTATTGCTAACGCCATGGGAAGAAATCAACAACCACCCATGAATTTTTAATAAATCACGTGGTATGATTTTTCTCCTTCCTACGGACCAAAGGTCCCGAATTAGGGGTATAAGTAAGTTCAGGGGCTCGGGTTAGTTGCCGTTCGAAATTTCAAGCATATAATTGTCGTACTAGATAGTCGTCACGAGTTACCCAAAATTATAGTCCTTGTCGAGTCGAATCAGACATCGAGTTTTATTGCAAAGCTAAGGTAGTGAATCTTTTTATTCAAACTGTAATTAATTGTAATTGCTATAATAAAAGACCATGCGCGGGTCTTAATAAACAGTAACGTAATTTAACAAATTCAAATGTTGCAATTACTTTTTTTTCTTTAATCATTCGACGCGTTCGGAGAGGGAAAAAGGAATGAATTATAGTTAAACCAACTATCTTTTGATTTATGATCGAGGCGTCGAAGCCGGTCATTTAGAAATCTTAAAGATAGAAACATTGCTCGGCCGTGGGTTTCTTTTCCGTCATCGTACTCAGGTTCCAAGTCACTTTCGTGCTTGCTGTAAGGGTTCGAGGGTCGAAGCCGGTTTTCCCAAACAGTAGCCACGGATTTGATTAACGCGGCTTCTTTTCGATCCAAGGCAGAGCAGATATTCCGATCAGGGTCGAGGTGTTGAAGCCGGCTTTGAAAGGAATAGACGCAAAACCAGCGGCCGTAAAGGGTTGCACGGGCTTGATAACGATTGACGGGACATGAGATTCATCCCCGATTAAAACTATTATAAATTCCAATTTTTCCCTCTCAGTAGATGAGAAATACCGAAAAGGTACGAAAATACCGGTCGGGCAGACGCGAGCAGATTCGTCGGTTGCTAAGAGACTACGTGCGACCAGCACAAACGGGAAAACTTCCGCTCGGGTGCGAAGCGAAGCCGCGAGTGGTGCAAAACAAACTTTTAAAAACACCAGCAGCAGCATCAGCACCAGCATCAGTCTCAGCACCAACATCAGCACCAACATCAGCATCAGTACCAGCACCAACCCCAGCACCAACTCCAGCACCGATACCTTGGAGGCTCACCCCACTAACTATCCCCGGGGCACGTGAAGCTGTGAGGACCATTCCACCAAACGACCCGCGGTGGGAAACCGAAAATATTTTAATTCCGAAAACTTAAAATATTCTAATAAATAGTAATCGCGAGAGTAAACTCAATACGGATCACGATCCCGTCCTGACGCGAGTCGTTTAAGAGGGGCGTGGGACAAAAGGCAAGCATCATTTGATCGAAACGGGCGACAGATTTTCAAATCTGAAATCCGGGACGTGACAACCGCACTTATTGGACCATTCTTGTAGGTTATCGATCGATGTTTGTAGCATTTCTTTTAGGGTGGATATATTTTTTCCACTGCATGTTAGGGTAAGATCGTCGGCAAATAGATGTGTACTTGCGGGAGGTCTTATGCCGCTTGATATGTCGTTGATTCCAAGCAAAAATAGTGTAGTGCTGAGTATCGAGTCTTAGGGAACTCCATTTTGAATTTCCGTTGGGTCGGATAACGTGTCATTAATCCTCACTTGAATTGTTCTATTCGACAGGAAGCTGATAATAAAGGATTTCATGTGTCCATTTATGTTTAACTTTATGAGAGAGTTGACGATTTTCGGTCTCCAAATCATGTGGTGCGCTTTCTCGATGTCTAAACACATTGCGATAAGATACTCATTTTTTTTAAAAGCGTCGCATATATTTGTATGCATATTGGTGAGTACGTCCGTTGTAGAGCGGTATTGGCGAAATCCCCATTGGGTTGGAGACAGAAAGTTATTAGTTTCAAGGTACCAACGGAGTCTGCTGTTTACAATTTTTTCGAATAATTTACACATATTATTAGTTAAGGCTATTAGGCGATAACTGTCTGGTTTGAGTTTGTTTATATCGAGTTTGAGGATTGGAACTACTATAGCTTTCCTCCAGTTGTCGGGGAAAACTTTATGGATCCATGTACAGTTGTATATTCGGAGTAGATAGCTTTTCCCGGTCATAGGTAGGTTTTTTAGTAATCTGTGAGGAATGTTGTCAGGGCCAGGCGATGAGTCTTTTGTTAGTAGGAGGCTGTTGGTTAATTCGTTTAATGATATATTGGAGTTTATTACTGCGTCTGTTTCTTCTTCGCCGAAGTTGAGAAGTTTTTCTTTTATTTCATTTTCGCGTTCACTGATATTTGAGAGAAATTCTTCAGGGTAATTACAATTGTTACGTCCCAATTAGTTTGGGACTTTCTTTAGGGATTCTTGTCTTCAGTTAAAGAGCTAAAGCTCACCTTATCTGTATTTAATTGGAAAAGAAGGAATTCTGGGATTCTATAATGATTGTCATTAAGTTTAAGTATTAACAAATATAATGAAACAAAACTGAGTTTGGGATTACATACAAACAAGAATATAAATTATACAATTGAAGATGGTTTTAACAATACCAATCGTTGATCTTATGCTATCGGCGGCGTTGTCAGGTTGTCCCGGGCTCTGCTGTGGCGAGGATCTGGTCTGGTTGTACACTCGCGACACGGGACTCTAATAATTGGCGAATAATAAACGTCGGACTTTCGTAGGTAACTCCGCGGTGACTCTATCTTTAGTGCGTATGTTCTCACTTACGCGAACTCTTTACTCAGCTGGAGATACGATACACGATACCTAAATAAAACTAACGCGAGAGATTAACCCGTCCGCGACTACAGAGTATTGACTGCCAAAATAATAATACACAAAGAGCTCTCCGTGGTCGTGACCACGGGTTTATATAACCCCAGATCCTTGCCTGGCGCAATACGTAATTTCGGGATCTTAATTGCCACATTTCCCGAATCTGGAGCAAGTTCTAGATTCGACAGGTGACTTATGCGTAACAGCGTAATATCGCTGATACCCGTTTGCTGAGTCGCGGTTCACGCGACTCGGTTTAGTGCCACGATTTCCGAATCGTGGTTCATGCGCATTCCTAAAGGTTTGGCAATTGTTGAAGTGGAGCATCATTCGGCAAGGCTGTATGTAATACAATTACTCGAATTAGATTTGAATTTCTTGGCGAGGGTGTTGGCGATTTCTTTTGTATCAGTCACTACTTGGTTTTGATCTGTTTTGAGGCATTGAATCACAGGGTATGAGTTACTGTTGTTTATCTGTTTAATTTTTTGCCACACTTGTTTAACAGGAGTTTGGTTGGTTATAGATGAGATATATTCATTCCAGGATTGTTTTTTGCTTTCTTTGATTGTCCTACGGAATTTAGCACGATATCTTTTGAATTCAATTGGATTTTCGGTGGAAGGATTCTTCTTAACCCTGTTGAAAGCATGATGATTATTCTTTAACGCACATTCGCATTCTTTGTTCCATCAGGGAGTTGTGCGTTTTATTAGTTTTTTGGGGATTGTTAGAGCGCTTGGCCCTGAAGCCTTTTTTGCTGCGTTGGTGATAATTGATTCTAAGTCGCTGACTATATCATTGATTTTATTGGGGTTAATTTTGTCGGTTGCTTTAGGAGTAAGGGTTTCGTTGATCTGATTATGGTACATCTCCCAGTCAATTTTGTTAAAATTCCACTTAGGTGTTTTCGGAGGTTGGCAATACGTAATATTGTCTTCGTAGGTTACAGAGAGTGGGAAATGATCGCTGTCATGTAGTCGTCTATCGCATTCCATTCTATACGTTGAGCTAGTTCAGCATCACAAATCGCTGGATGATCCGTACTTGCATTAAAATGTGTTTGGTGTCCAGTGTTTAACAAACATAAGTTTGGGTTTTGTAGTAATTTTTCAATTATCTTCCTGCGGGCGTCAGTCTTGGATGACCCCCACAGAGGATTGTGGCTGTTGAAGTCTCCGGTTACGATTATGGGTGAAGGGATTTGTTGAATCAAATTTTGTATGCCTTAGAGATGGAGAGTTTGGCTATTTGGTAAATAAATATTGCAGATGTGGATTTTGTTTGGGCAATAAATGGTTACTCCGATTGCTTCTAAGTTTGTTTTTAATGGAATTTCTGTGGCTGAGTATTTATTTAATGTTGCAATAGCTACTCCTACGCTGACGGAGTTATAATTTTCCCTGTTTTTTATGAAAAGATTGTAATTTTTTAGCGATGGAGAATGTTTCTTTTTGAAATTAGTTTCTTGGAGACATAGGATATCTGGATTGTGTTGTTTAATAGTGATTTTGAGTTGTTCGTAATGAGCAAAATATCCGTTTACGTTCCACTGGATAATTTTTTTTTCATAATGTGGCTAGCTATTTATTAGTGAGTTATGTGAGTATATTTGATTTTTTCTTAACTCGATAGGTCACTGTCCACTTTTGACGACCAATTCAGTGCTGATTGATTTGATACGTGATGAATTATTTTCTTGTGTAATTTGTATATTCTATTTTTTATTGACCGCGCTTTAAGTAAGGGATGGATTCTTACTAGCAATTCGGCTAATGCTAGAGTATTGGAGGTGTATTGTGTGGCGATTTCCTTCGGGTTGGGAGCCCCTATTGCATTTTCTAAGAACTTCTCAATTTGAGGTAGTCTAAAATTTGGTTATTTTTTT